TACATGTACCTGTACAGTATAAATTTATGTACATGATATACATGACTACATGTACATGTATACGAAATTGATTTGCATAAATTTTGTGTCTTCCCCCCCCCCTTTGTTTCACCCCTCTTCTTCCCTCTCCCTCTCTCCTCTCAGGTTACTCTAATGAGTTCTGGTTCATGTGGTGCTTTTGTTCATTGTACTGAGGATGAGTTCATGGAGGTCAGATCTGCTGCTATACAGTCAATGGGTCAGCTGAGTGGGAGGAGCTCTGAGTTTGGCCACGCCTCTCTTGACTTCCTTATAGACATGATCAATGATGAGATACAGTCTGTGAGACTACTGGCTCTTAAGACACTCAGAAAATTAAGTTATTTTTTAATTGTATTATTAGTAAAATGTTTTCTGATCCATGTGCATGTAAATTTTGTGCAGAGAGTTTAAATTGGATTTTTTGACTATTTAAAGTTTAGCCTTACTGTATGGTTTTAAGCTTATACCATATATGATGGTATGGCATACATGCAATGCATGAATGTACAGTACATAAATTTTTTGCTTATTTAGTGATTTTTGGAAAATGTGAAAGTTTAATTCCTAAAAAGTTTTACTTCTTTATTGAGCCATAATAGGCCAAGGTGCATCTACGAAAGTTTTAACCAGATATTCACAAAAAGTTTGGGCCATAGAATGTGTGCACGCATGTATTGTTCATACAAGGTATTACTTGTATTTTTTAAAATTATGTTGTAGTAGAAAGTTTTCTGACACTGATACAAAAAGTTTGGGCTGCAGTACACGTATTTGTACATGTACATGTATGATAAATTACATGTGATGTATTACATGTAGTTTTTTATGACATTAGGTGAGTGAGTCCATTAACCTAAGAGAAGATCAACTGGAGACAATACTAGGAGTACTACAAGAGTCTTCATTAGTGAGTGGGCGTGTCTTGATTTTGAAGCCACCTTCTAATACATGTACTTTCTAATTTAGAATATAGATATGGCTATTACATGTACATGTAAATGTACATGTACCATACTGTACACTGAATTGCTAATTTTGAGAAGTTTGAGAAAATTCGTATATAAAAGTTTAATTTTTGATTGGCTATTCATATAATGTTTTGGCCACAATGTTTATACATGTATAAGTGTGTCTACATGTACATGTACTGTACAATGTAGTACATATACAATGTATTTTTGAGTTGGTGTGTCTTGATTTTGAC